GTTTTTTTCTGTAGCCTTCGGTTGTCTCTGGTGCTGTTTCGAAGTTCTATGAGGTTATCGTGCTTCTCAATTTTTTCGGTGCTCATAAAAAATAGTATAGCTATTATCGAAAATATAGTTTTTATTTCTACTTTTCGTAATAACCATTTACGTAGTGATACGAAGTTCTACATGGTTATCATGCTTCTCAATTTTTCGTGCCCGTGCAGTACAGTGTTGGTACCCGTGCAGTGCAGTGCCCAACACGTAAGATAGTAAAATGATTATTATTGTAAAAATAGGAATTCAAAACTCTATTTTATTAGTAATAATCGATTACTTTTACGTAGTTTCCTCTCTACACTGCTTATGAATCTGCTGTATTTTTTATTTCCAAGATATGTTTTTTTGTGATTATACAAAGTTCCACATGGTTACACTGCTTCTCAATTTTTTTGGTGTATATTACTGCAGGCGTTTAATAATAACAATGCATACTTTTAAATATTTTTATATGGAGTAAAAAGGCTGAACAATTTCGGGTGCAAAAATATTTTTCAATTAGGCGGGAAATAAAAAACAAAAATCATTTGCATACATTTTATTTACATGTTTATTAAAAAATATTTACATACATTAATAAATCAATACTTTATTTTCTTAAATCCAAATGGTACAGAGGTATGATCTTCATAGAATTTCCTTTTCATTGAAGTTATCTTGTATACCTTAGGAAACTCGACTGTTACTACTGCATGCTCTCTTGTACGTCGTAGCTGTCGAGAAAGTACAGAAACAGGATCAGATTTCTTCAGCACCATGTCTTTTATTTTCTCAAAATTGACTACTTGGGATGCCTTGTAGTTGAGTGATATGCCTTTTACTTTACATACGATCTGTTCCTCTCCAGACAAAGTAGTATATTTGTAGGCGTAGTTCTTAGGTCCTCCAGAAACAAACTCTGATATGAAACCCCCATTGAGCTCATCGGTCATATCACCTATGAAGTCGCCTGTAGATATGTCGTCTAACCCCTTACGAGAGATATAAATACATGAATCTGTATCTACGTAAACTGCCCTTTCTTCCACTTTCTCCAAGAATGAATATAATTTTAGTCTAGCTAGGGCCGTGACATATGAAGCCAATACAACGTTAACCGTTGAAGAAACGTCATAGGCCTCTTCTCTAAATTCCCAAGTTATGAGAAGGGTTTCTTCGTTTACCGGGAGAACTGTATTTACATGAATAGAAGGATTAGTCAGCATATCAAAGAATTCACCACAGTCTCTGACTATTGAGGTTTTGTTTTGGTTTTCTTTTTGAGCAAATTTACCCCAAAAGGAATTCAGCATAAGTTTAGCTAACGATCTCAAACAGGGGTTCTCTATAATTTTTGAAAATTCCAGCTTTATGTCTTCTCTATCCAAAAATGCATCAATATAACGGTTTTTTTCTTCATCCGTTAAGCAATGTTTGGGCCATCCTGAAGCTTGTTGTTTTATTTGTAGAAACTTGTTCATCATTCCGCTAAATAACCCCTCTTGGTCTTTACTGAGCTGAATTGTATCGTATTCCCATATTTCGTAAGTCTCTATAATCTGGTAACCTTTTTCAATAGCTTTGAGCACCTCTTCTATCACCCAAGTTCCTTTTAGGCTTCTTTCTTGAATAGAATGCTGACACTCTTCTCGAACGAAATCTTCACCACATTTTGACAGTTAACAAACATCAATTTGTTGTTCATTTTTGACGGTAAAAACGGGGTGATATAAGTTCTGGTTCGGTAGAATCTGGCATTTAATAAGTCCTGACATCTGCGACAGAGAGGCTGTAACACATTCTTCACCTACGTAAATTTTTTTTGGATGACCCACCGGAAATTTTCCATATTTACAGATGAAGGGGTACAGGGAACATATATCGACATATTTTATGCATTCATTTGTTTTGATCTTGTAGTATTCAACGATATTTTCTGTACGTCCCCCGTAGAGAGCGTCTCTGGGGTTAATCGGTAAATTGATTATCAATGGATGTGCTTCTGTGAAGGCTCTAATTTCATCGTTTAGCATTCCTCGAAATTGACATTCCCATATCTCAATTACTTCTAGTCCAAGGCTTCGGAGTCTCTCTACTTTGCTAACTGATTGTTCGTATCGACTTTCCAATGTATTCAACGGATCATTATGCAGAGGATTGCTTCTGTTGTATTTGAAACATCGAGGGCAACCGTGAAAATAGCATCCTTGGAATTCAAACACTTGATTTGTGTCGCTACAAAAACCGTCTACTTTATGTCCCTTAACAATGGTTTCTATACCCTTAGCGGCGTGTTGAATTTTGATTCCTCTTTGATGTTCCTCCCACAACAGCCATTGGATGGCAATTTTTGACTGATTTTCACGCCATCTATAGCCCCCTTTTGGAATTACCCCGATCGTCTCAGGTTTTAAAAAATTGCGTCTAAAGACTTTGTTACAGCATGATGCAATAGTGGTGCTTTCCTGGAAGGGATCGACTGTGGTTTCGGTTTTCATCAGGTCTCGAAATTTGAGACACGCCTGTGTCAATATTTCCACATCGGAGATACAGTATTCAACGATTTCTTTCTGAAATCAAAAACGTATCCCTCCGCTTGTCTTTCGCCATGCCATTTTAATAATTTTTTCCCGAGCGTCTTCCTTTAAATGGTCGGGATCGTAGAAGTCGAGCGCTGGAATTGGCCCTACATAATTCTGATGAGCCAAAGTGTTGAATAAATGTGGAAAGTATCCTTTCTTTAGCTCTTTCAAATCAAACGCCTTGGGTAGAGCAGTTAGAGGCATAGGAAAATAATTGAGAGAATCCAGAAATTTTACTTTTCCTACCTCCATCAATATTAATTTTGTTCCTCTCATAATTACATTCGGGTACAGACTAGTCTTCTCTAAAATGTAACGAAGTAGAAACTGATGATCAAATCCTCCACCATTATGCGCCAGTACAATGACTTTCTTGAATTTTTTACGAAGTGTCAGAATATGATGCATAAATGGAGAAATGACGTCTTGACATCGAAGAATCTGTATTCGAAGGCCACATTTCTTGCATATAGGATTATCGGTACATGATTCACAACATTGTTTGAATACACATAGATTTGGCTCATGCAGTAAAGATCCATTGGGTAATTCCTTCTCCTGACGGGTTTCCAAATCGTAAAATATTAATAAGACATCATTTGATTTAGGAATACTTCTGTCAGGCTGTATATAGCACATATGTTCAATTGGTTGATTTTTATAACATGTTTTACAAAGTATATATCCGCAGATGTGATCATTACCGTTGTGAACTTTAAAACAGTCTACACATCTTTTAATTTTAGAACAGACCGATGGTAAATGAGCGTTAAAACATTCTTGTCCATAAAAGTTTCTATTACATTCTTTGCATTTGATGTGCTTCGTTTTCAGGCAGGCCGGAGATCTTTTACAAGCATAACATTGTTTATCACATCTATGAATTTGTTTAGTATTATACGGAATGTGGCAGTTCTCACAAAAAAAGCTGCAGCAAAAGGCAGCAGTGAGGGATGTTATGACGCTGTAGTGCCCCTCGTGATATATTAGGTTAAGCGTCGGACCAGCGGACACGCCTTCAAAAATGACGTCACGACCTTTGCACCCAAACTTGTATACAACAATTTTGTAGTTTTGCAGATATCGTTGTAGCTTTTGAAGTTCAGGTATTCCACACCCCTCCTCAGGGATAACAATATCAGCCTTTTCCACAAGTTGTACAGCTCTTTGTCCTTGTATTTTTCCTCGATCACGGCGGATTCTGCTATAATCTTTGTCTTTGTTCAAATGGGCCATGGCGATGACAAGGGCTCGTGGGAGACACAAATTATCGGTGTTTTTAACGGTGATAATGCTTTTTCTTTTGGCGCATTCCTCATCAAAGGTATTGAAATTCTGAGCTCTACCACGACCAGCAGGCAACCTTACGGACGTAATACCAAAGCAAAAAGTCTCGGTATTCAACCCCACAGAATTTGACTGATAGATGGAAGATATCTTCTCCCATATGTCCTCAGTTGAAACGTCGGAAAACAATTTAAAAGCTATCCATCCTTGACCGCGGGTAAAGTCTTTGGAACAGAAAGTGAATCCAACTTGATCACTGGGCTGGAGATGTTCAGTTCCTTTGGCTACTATTTCCTCCAGAGCGTCTTTGATCCATCCCACAGGTTCGACGTCTTTAGGGATAGGTCGTATTTTAAATTCCACTTCTCGCCCATATAGATTTTTTTTTTTAATCTTCTTAGTAGAATCCTTAACGATGAAGAATTTTTCCATTTTTTAAAAACTAAAACGTTAACTAGCGACTAAATCTGAACTGAGCACGTCTGTTCGCTGCAGATAACTGACAAGATAATTTGCGGTGATTCATAGGTATTTATAATCTCGATTTTACCCCCACCACTTTTTAACTGACCACAGTGTTTCAAGGTCACCGCTGTTATCGTTGGTCAGTATTAACTCGTTGACAGCCTGCGCTTCCTGCCCATTCACCCATGCTTAACAGCCCCGCCCGGTACTTCTTGCATATCACCGCTACGACAACACCTGCCCTGAACCTAACCTCATTTGCGACGTAGGTGATTGCCTTGTTGAATTTATTAGATACACAATATAGACTGTACTATGTTTTCAATATTGTATCAATGTTAAAAATTAACTAACATTAACTGTATGCACCACATATATGAGCAATTCCATTTTATATGCACACTGAATATGACGTGTTGATTATTGAGATCATCCTATACGCATTGTTTCCCGCGAATTTTATACGTTTTTCCATTTAAACTGAATCAGCAGAATTGCATCTATAAATATCATTATTCATGGGCTTTTATCGATCTATATGCAAATATTTACCGCAAAACATGAAATGAGTCACATCGCTTACGCATAGACGTTATACTACACCTTACTATCGTCGGCTGTCTGAATCACTTCCGGTCGGGTGCGCCATCTAACGGGGCCCGCCAATCAACATATACCATCAACCCGTTCAAACTTCCCGCCGTCTGATCCACCAATCAGAGCACGCGGTGGATCTAGCGGTTCCCGCCAATCAACATATACCATCAACCCCGTTCAAATTTCCCGCCGTTTGATCCGCCAATCAGAGCACGCGGTGGATGTGGTGGGCGTGGCCAAAAAGTGGAAGTGGTGGGGGGCGCCCAGAGTGCACCAGTATCTACTCAGGTTCGATATGCGGTTGATCCAGAACCGACAAACGTGTAGGGGCTACTTCATCGTTTATGGCATTTTGGGATATCGCTCTACCAACTTCACGTTTCAATTCATCCGTTTCGGTCTGGGTTAGATAACCGTTATTCACAATAGTCCTTTTTCTATCAACGATATTTTGCTCAGTTAATCCAAGTTCCGGGTGAATCTTTGAAAACTCTGTGTGGAGCTTACGTCTCCAACCTGTTTGTGGTAGGTCTTTGCAGTCATTAACGAGATAAAATGCTTTCATTACAGAAATGTTTAGCTCTCTAGTCCATTTTATACGTTGACCGCTACGTTTATTGGCCGCAGCATTCCGGGTGCCGGTGTGCAAACGGCAAATCTGTGTGACCTCGTCTGTTAATTCCACAGGATGTTCATCTTCATCGGTGGACCTATAATGTCGATCCCATGTATTTGGAGGATTTCGCATGATGACGACCTGGGTTACCTCCGAGGCTACAACCGGGGTAGCAACCTCACCCCTGCCGAGCGCGACACCACTACCGCTGGGGCTTGTGGTGTCGTTAACGCTGTTACGTTCTTCCGAGGCTAAATTAAAGTTGTTCTCCATAATTATTATGGGTGCGTTGTATCCCTTTTTTTTAATCTCTAAGAGTCGGAATGCGCATTCAGCGCATAGATATCGCTCAGCGCCAGCGGAAGGGAAACAAAAACCAACTGATGCTCAAGAAGGATTGCTGGCTGTACCGTCTATCCTTGGTGTTATTGCGGTAGCGGGTCTGACACTGCTGGTAGCAGTGCCCTTACCGGCCTGACATTATTATTATTATTATTATTATTATTATTATTATTATTATTATTATTATTATTATTATTATTATTATTATTATTATTATTATTATTATTATTATATATTATTATTATTATTATTATATTATTATTATTATTCCGTTTTCTGTTAGCTATTCTCTGCTACTGCAGGTGGTATCCTCAAACGCGGCATTATACTGCAAGCGTCTGAGTGTGACTATTGGTTTCTCTTTGTCTATGTGGCTACATTCAGGACCTTGCGTGCTATATGACAACTACCTAAGATAGCAGCTTTCTGAAGTGAGAGGTATAGTTTCTGCGGCAGATTTAGTTTCTCAATATATTTATGTAGACTCTTAGGTATTTCTCCTGTGGCTCCGATCACTATTGGGATGACTTCAACTTTTTCTTGATTCCACAGTGTTTTTACTTCTGCAGCTAGTGGTAAATACTTGCGAACCTTTTCTGTCTGCTTCTCAGCTATGTTATGTGGGGAAGGCACACTAATGTCAATTATGCAGGTAACTTGCTTCATTTTATCTTGAACTACGATATCTGGTTTGTTGTATTCCATGGTGTGATCTGTTTGAATTGTTCTATTCCAGTATATTTTATGGCTGTTAGTTTCTATAACTGGAGTCGGCTGGTACTTGTAATATGCGGTGCGGTCAGTTAGTATGTTCGCAGCATAACAAATTTCTTGGTGAACTATTTTAGCCACGTTGTCGTGGCGCTTCAGATACTCAGTGGAAGCTAGGGGAGTGCAGCTCGTCAGTATATGCTCTATTGTTTCCGACTTGTTATGGCATATACGACATCTATCTTCAATGCCTTCTTCTTTCATGATGTATTTTCTATAGTTTAAGGTTGGTATCACCTGATCTTGAATGCCAATCATGAAACCTTCAGTTTCCGAAAATAGCTCCCCACTCTTCAGCCATCCATGTGACGCTTCTGCATCAATGTGATCTGAGCTGAGCATGGCTGGATGTCTTCCATGAAGCTGTTTGGACTTCCATTGATGATACCATTGTTCGTCGGTGGTCACATGGGTTAGAGGTTCATACTGTTCATCCGACAGGTTCAGTGGTGTGAACTTGTAGTCAGCTGAAGCTATATTTCTGTGATATGCAGATGTTTCGCCCTTTCTATAAAAGAATCTCCTGAGGTTTTCTATATTCCGCAGGTTAGCTGCTTTAAGGTCAATCACGCCTCGTCCCCCTTTGGATCTTGGCAAGTAGAATCTTTCGATCGAACTCTTGGGATGTCTTGCTCTATGATTTGTAAATAAGACTCTTATGTTTCTGTTTAGCTGCTCTAAGTCAGAGTCTGTCCACTTGATTATTCCGAAGCTATATGTTATTGTCGGAATAGCATATGTGTTAATGGCCCTTACTTTGTGTATTGCGGACAGATGAGTCTTAAGTATTGATTTGACCCTACTCGTTAATCTTTGCTTTAGAGCTTCTTTCATATCTTTGTGTTTGATACCCCTTGCTTGATCTAGTCCCAAATATGTATAGCTAGCTCTCTTTCTCAGACATGCTTCTTATTGTCTGACCCTGCTCCAACATAAACCCTGGGTGATCTTCCCATATGCCTTTTCTAATAGCCCCAATCTTACACTTGTCCAGGCCAAACTCCATTCTTGTGTCAGCACTCTATTTCTTTATGGTTTTAAGCAACCTGTCCAGTCCATCCTTAGTGGCAGATATTAGTTTGATGTCATCCATGTAAGCTAGATGGCTTATTTGTAGGTTGTTCTGAAGCTTATAACCTTCGTTCTTCTTGTGCAGCATTCTAGATAGAGGTGCTAATACAATACAGTACCATAAAGCACTTAGTGCATCTCCCTGGAAGATACCTCTTTTAATGCTGATGGCACCGATGTTGATATTTTCTTCTTTATGGGTTATTACAAGATTAGTTTTCCATTGAGGCATAAGGTTTTGCAGCAATCTCACTATACTAGGGCTGATTTTATATATTTGGAGCATTTCAATTAATAGAGAGTGAGGAACACTGTCAAAGGCCTTTTATAGTCAATGTATGCAACATACAGATCTTTCTTACAGCCCTTTGCTTCCTCCGTGATGATTGTATCTATTGTAAGTTGCTCTTTGCAGCCACGACTTCCCTTTTTGCAGCCTTTCTGTTCTTCTGGGAGCAGATGATGCCTTTCAAGGTGCTGGTAAATTTTATCGCATAAAATTGAAGTAATTATTTTATATATGGTTGGAAGACACGTAATTGGCCTGTATTTTGATGGGTCGCTCACAGAAGGGAATGTTTTAGGAAGCAAGTAGGTGTTTCCCGTTGTCAGAAATGCTGGAATGGATTCTGGATCTTGCAAGAGGCTTGTGCAAATCATCGCTAACGTTTCGTGTGTGCAAGTGAACTTTTTAAGCCAATAGTTATGGATGCCATCAGGTCCAGGCGCCTTCCAGTTCTGCGTGTTGTTTATAGATCTTTTAACATCCTCCACAGTTATGACGTTGTAGTGCATCATGGGTATTTTTTCGGTTTTCCTCTTTCGTCCGCGAGCCAACTTGTTTTATTATTATGAGTCTTAGGGTTCTCCCATAGGTCAGCCCAATATGTTAATGCATCTCTAGCTTCTGGAGTTTTACCCGTAGTACTTACATCTTCGTTTTCCAGTGAGCGATAGAACCTCTTTTGATTCGTTCGAAATATGCTATTTTGTAGTTTTCTTTGATGCGACTCTTTATATCGCTTTAGGCGATTTGCGTATACAGACAACCTTTGTTGGAGCTTATCGAGGATCTGTGTCGGATTTTGATTATCCTCATCATGATGTCTCTGGGTTATTGTTGTGACTTTAATTCGCAACCGGTTGGACGGGGCATCTGACTTGATGTACTGAACAAGGGGGCCTATAGCTGCTCGTAGATCTTTTATTTTCCCTTCGATCCTCATCTGCCATCTGGGTTTTTGTTCAGTATGCTTGTATGATTGCTTTATCTTTTGATGGTGCAGTTCAATCACAGTATAAGCGCCGGCATAGATTAGGTCATGATAATCAGTTATACCGGTTATGTCACACAACTTGGTCGTCATGAGATGATTTACTCTATTCAAGATATGAACAGTATTCTTATTTGTTCTCAACCGAGGCAGTCTTGGTCTCAGAAAAGGATCTATGCCTTTGAACAGTATTAAATTCCTTTCAAAACATGTTTTCTCTTCAGTTTCTATCTGCCTTATATTTGTGCTTTCACTGCTGGTATTTGCTGTATCCTCCAGCTCGCGTGATGGTTCAGCCTGTCCTATTCCGAGTTCCATCTCCACTTCTCTTCGTATCCGGTTCACTTTATCTATCGATATCCTGTTCGTCGTAAAGAGATGTCGTCGTTGGTCCAATATGTTCTGACGTGTTTTACTTGCTAGATCAGGAAACCTTCCAATCATGGTTTGGTAGAGTTCGACGCTATAGGGGTCCTTTGATGTTTCCATTTTGGTGATTTTGAGGTAGGTACGGTAGAGGTATTCATTCATTTCATCACTCCATTTCATCCGTTTCCTACGACTATTATCCTCTTGAGTGGGACGAGCAATTTGCTCGGCAACACTTTCAGAGCTTCGATGTAATCGTTGTTCCATTTCCATCGCCTGTGTGGTGGTAGGTCCAATCCTCGGGTCAGTGCCACCTACTTCACTCGATCCCAAGACAGGCATAGCCTCCTGACGCTTCCGAACAGAGTCAGCCTGATTCTCTGCCACGCCCAAAACTGTATTCCTTCTCGTCTTTACAGCGGTTAGAATCACGTTCTACGGGGTGCTAACCCATAGAGCGGTAATGCTAGTTTTTGTCCACCCCGGGTATTTAATTTCCCCGGTACCCTCCATATCTGGAGAGCGTTTCCCAATTCGCACAGGGAGGCGCCCGATGGGAGACTAGCAACTCCACGCGGAGTATTATTATTATTATTATTATTATTATTATTATTATTATTATTATTATTATTATTATTATTTTATACTATTTTACTCCTCTGTCGAAGGTATTAATATTTCCCTCAGGCGGTTAGCCAAAGTAAGGAAATAGATCTGCAGCGGTCTTTTCACCGTATCCGGTTCTCATCTCCTAAAACCCTACGTACTGTCCTACATGTTCCCAGCAGTGCAGCTTTTTGCAGTTGCAAGTATATTTTTGGATGGAGCTGTAGCTTTTCCAGACTCTTGTGTAGTTTCCTTGGTATCTCTCCAGTAGCTCCTATTATAACTGGTATTATAGACACATTGCCCATTTCCCACATGCGTTTGATTTCGTCGGAGAGTGGCAAATACTTATTGATTTTTTCCGCATGGGTGGTTTGGATATTAGTAGGAAGAGGCACAGCTATGTCTATTATAAACGTCGTTCTTTCTTCTTTTAGTGTGAGCACTATGTCAGGAATATTGTTGGGGATGGGCCTGTCAGTTATGATTTTACGGTTCCAGTACAGCCTAGAGGTCTCCGTTTCTATCACAGGTGGCGGCGTGTATTTATAGTAGGGCTGTGTACCAGTTTCTCCTAGATGCTTTTTAGCCAAAGCTTGATAAAGTATTTTGGCCACATCATTGTGCCTTTCAAGATATTGTTTAGGAGCTAAGGGAGAGCACCCTGCTACAATATGATCTATGTGCTCATCTTTTTCCCCACATATGCGGCATCTGATATCGTCAACGTTCTCATGCATTATACGCTTTCGGTACAACTTTGTTGGGACTACCTGATCCTGGATGGAGGCTATGAAGCCCTCCGTCTCCAGGAACAGATTACCTGACTGCAACCATCCTTGGGAAGCCTTCGTGTCAATGGCGTTGTCTTCTATGCGGCTCCTATACCGACCATGTAGTGGTTTGGCTTTCCATTGGCGAACCAGATCCTGCATTGGGGTTATCTTTGCCTCAGGGTCGAAAGATTTTTCTGAAAGGTTTAGTGGTGTCAACTTTTTATCCGTCTGTGTTATTGCTTGATGCATTCTGCTGGATGTGGCTTTTTGGAGGAAGTACTGGCGTAGATTGTCCACTTGGCGGTGATGTAGTGTAGGTATGCAAGGTATTCCTCTGCCACCCTCACTTCGTGGTAGATGGAACCGCTCTATGGAACTATGTGGGTGGTGTCCCCGGTGTTTACGGAATTCTTTTCTGGTTTCCACATTAAGTGCGTTCAGTTCTGTATCCGTCCAGTTCAGTATGCCAAACGTATAGGTAAGGACCGAAGTAGCGTAGGTGCTGACAGCAAGTGCTGTATTACGAGCTGACAGACTTGTTTTCAGCACCGCCCTCAAACGTGTTCTATAGTGCTCCATTGCCTTTTCTTTTGCAGCTTTCTGGTCTATGCCCGGCGCTTGTAGATAGCCTAAGTATTTATACTGTTCATCTTGCTGCATTCCTTCAATTTTCCCTTGCACTTGGTTCGGCTCATATCCTGAATGTTTACTCCACTGGCCTTTTACCATGCAACTGATCTTGCACTTGTCTAAGCCAAACAGCATCTTGATGTCAGTGCTGAATTTACTTACACAGTCCAGAAGCTTATGAAGATGTTCTTTGGTTTCTGCAAAAAGTTTGAGGTCGTCCATGTACCAAAGATGTGAAATGCGTGTTTCATTGCCACCTAACAGTATTCCTTTCTTTTGGCTATTTAGCATTGTTGTTAACGGTCTAAGCGCTAAGCAGAACCATAGCGGACTTAAAGAGTCTCCTTGAAATATTCCTCTCTTGATGGATACCTCTCCGGCACTGAATTGCGTATCTTGGGTGTTGAGATAGAGCCGTGTCTTCCAATTCGCCATAGCATGTGCCAGAAATTGTTTGATGTGGCACTCGATCCCATAAAGGTCAAGCACCTCTAACAGCCAAGAGTGAGGTATACTGTCAAACGCTTTCTGATAATCGATGTATGCAATGTACAGGGGTATTTTTTTCTTTTTGGCATAATTAGTTATGACAGAGTCTATAACAAGTTGCTCTTTACAGCCTCGAGACCCTTTTCGGCAACCTTTTGCTCTTCGTCTAGTATAGTATTCGCTCTAGGTGTGAATATATCTTTTCAGTAATTATAGCAGTCAATACCTTGTAAATAGTCGGCAGACAGGTGATTGGTCGGTATTTTGCCGGATCGTTCGAGTGATCGCCGCACTTTGGGATTAAATATGTTATTCCCATTGTTAAGAACTCTGGCAACATATCCGGTTGCTCTAAGATTGAGGTGTAACACTTTGCGAGTCGATCGTGAGCTGAAGTGAACGTTTTTAGCCAATAATTCTGAAGCTTATCTGATCCTGGGGCTTTCCAGTTTGGTAATTTTCGTAGAGTATTTACCACGTCATCTAAGCTTACTTTCCAGTCGAGCATGGTCCTAAAAGTTGAATTATTTGCTTTCTCTTGGCGGTACCATTTAGATGTGGAATGATTGATTGGATTGCTCCAAATTCCTGACCAGAAGGTATTGATGGCATCTGAGGTAGGAATCTGAACGTTGTTCTGATCTGTATCCCTCCGTCGCGCCTGCAAGTTCCTGTAAAAGCCTCGCTGATTGGTCTCGAATGCTCGATTTTGTTTCCGGCGTTCGTTGCTTTTCTTGTACCTTTGAAGTCGCAGTGCTGTAGCTGCTAGTTTTTGCTTCAGGTAGTCCAAGACTTCTACGGCTGTTGGGTTCTCTTCGAGCAGTGACGGTTTTATCACATTTTCTGCGGATCTCTTTACTCTCAGACTACAGTCAGACCTGCGGTACTGGGTGAGTATTGCTATGTCCTTTCTAATCTCCTCTATATTACGCGATATCCTCATCTCCCAGGCTGGCAGTTTTCTGTTTTTCCTTACACATTGTTCGCCAACTCTCTGTTCATTTAATTTTAGGACTGTAAGTGCTCCAATGTACAACAGGCTATGGAGCTCAGTCAAGGTTGTATCTTCTGTAATCTCGTTATCTATTACTTTGTTAACTTCAGCGATATACTCAGATGTATGGGGTTTTATTATTAGCATTTGGTAGGCTTGGTTTAATAGTTGGTTCCACACCATCATACTTCATGAACAAGCCCCTGAACTCATCTGCGTATTTAGATGGTTGGCCATCGTTTATCTCAATTTGTTCTGGTTTTCTGTGTGCTCTTGCGGAGCTTGTATCTGCATTCCTAATTCTATGGATATCTCTTCTCTTATTTTGTTTATCTCCTCTGCCGGCAATCTGTTGTTTATGAATACGGATCGGCGCTGGTCTAGTACGTTTTGCACAGTTTTGCCTTGCAGGTGAGGGAAGTTCATGATAACTTGTCTGTGTAGTTCAGTACCATAGGGCTCTGTAGATGTTTCTAGTTTAGTTATTCTGTAGTAGGAGCGAACCACAAATCTGTTCATTTCAGTGGTCCACGTGGTTCTTTTTCTCCTCCTATTGTCTGGCATTATGGGCTGGGGCTCTTGGCTTCCAGCAACATGATTGCCATCTTCGACGCCCAGGAAGCTGTTGGATGGGGTCATTCGAGTTACTTCTCACACTATCTGTGGGGGGCTTTCGCTGGATGACGACCGGGTGCGACCTTCCCCTACGCTCCCGCCGGACGCGGAACCTCGTCGCGATAGCGTCGAGTCCCGATTACGTCATTACATTCCGAGGCTTCATTTTTTTTTTTTCGCCATTTCTGGGTATTGTGTTCTCTTTTGATAGGTAGGTATAATTGTTTACCTAAAAGTGTTTAAACTCAGGCGTGGAATAGAGACAAAAACCACGCCTGGATGAACAGAGTTGTGCTGCCCGTACTGACTTTCCTTCGGTGTTAATACAGGAGCTCAACCAAACTTGTCGAGGCCAGACGTTGCGTTGCTTGGCTGTACCGTCTACGGTCGTTACGTAGCGGGTGTGAACTGCTGGGCGCAGTCCCCTACCGGCCAGACTTTTATTATTATTATTATTATTATTATTATATATTATTATTATTATATTATTATTATTATATTATTATTATATATTATATTATTATTATTATTATTATTATATTATTATTATTATTATTATTATTATTATATTATTATTATTATTATTATTATATTATTTTATTATTATATTATATTATTATTATTATTATTATTATTATTATTATTATTATTATTATTATTATTATATTATATTATTTTATTATTATTATTATTATTATTATTATTATTATTATTATTATTCTTATTATTATTATTATATTATTATTATTCTTATTATTATTATTATATTATTATATTATTATTATTATTATTATTATTATTATTATTATTCTTATTCTTCTTATATTATTATTCTTCTTCTTCTTATTATTTTTTCTTTCTTATTCTTATTTATTATTATTCTTATTATTCTTATTTTTTCTTCTTTTTTTGTTTTTTTCCCAGCCCTCTCTCTTCCTGGTTCTGTCCATGTGGGCCGGTTTTGGTTGGTCATTTTCATTATGGTACTTCGAAGATGTTACCCACATCCTAACGAAGTCCATTACCTTATAGTGTCTTACGTAATATGGTTGCTGTACCATACAAAGCAATTTCCTGCACGTCTGCTGTCCTGTG